ACAATAGAGAAACATACAGAGGATTCGCATTTTCAAAAGCAGCACAAATATTACAGAACTTGTGGTGGCAAAATACTGTCAGGCAAGCAGAAGGCAGAGAAAATGCAACCCCGGCAGTGTTCTAAATTTGCGTCAGACATTCTCTTGGCCTCTGGTGTTAGCATTACAATGGACTCACAGACAGTACATTCAAAAACCGTCTGCACAGTTTGCGTGGACAAGATAAGACATATAAAGAAACATTGCTGTCAGGGCACTATAACCTCCTGGCTTTTCCGAAACTACTCTTGATGCTCGTTTTCTCTACAGTTTACACCTCCCACTTATAAATATTGAACACCGTAAAGTAGCACCACTATACTTTTATATTGTTCAGGGTGTTGTTCAGAACCACCATCGTTTGCTAGAGGCAGCGAAACACACAATAGACACACAGCTAAGTGAGCAATCAGGGGAAGACTATAAAGAAGTTTAGTCGTCACTACACACTATGGCAAAAACTGGAGCCGTGGGGATCGAAGAACTAAATGGGGGATTAGACCTTTAGAAGGTTGCGTAGTACTTTCTGACTCTGAAGAGGAGAGAATTAACTTTCCAGAACAATTGATGGAGAAAGAAGACAGGTTGTCTGAGTTAGAGTATGAACCCTTTAACCCTGTTCTGGCCCTATCTGTTCTCATTTAGACACCATACTAGACTCACACAACATCACACCGCAGGCATACGACAGCCGCTCTTTCATTGGCAATCACTGCCACAAATACATCATGAGTCGCATTTATAAAGACCTCACTGCATATTGTAAAAGAAATTGTAGAAAATACCGACAGCCAAAACATAATTGACAGCGCTTACACTCTCGGAGAAAATTCAGTCAATTAAACAACGCATTTAGGGGCGTTCACATCCAGCGTTCACATCCACATCTCACACGGCCAACCAGTGTCAAAAGACAGACTACCACACACTGACACAGGCATCAAAACTTACATGTCATTATACAGGAGACACTTTAGTGAAAAAGTGCTTCCCAAACACCACATTCTCGAAAACCACTGCATCCCGTGGATACAGACATATGGGTTTGGTTTTGCTTTACATGGGGAAAAGGGTGGTGAACTTATCCATGCTTTTGTGGCAAAGCTAGAGAGAAGAAGAGCTGGGATACGTAATATTGAACAACAGCTGAAAGTTGTAATGCAATCTCAGCACTTCATTCCAACTCCAGAACTATTATCCAACGTGCCTCCGACAAATAAAAAAAAGGTGATACTGCAATCAACTCTTCACTTCTCCAAAACCGTGGACTTGGCACAAAAACAACAAAGTG